GAGGTTCTAGTTTAGTTTGATGGTGTGTATCGTTGTGTACAAATGACGTTGAACCAAAGATTTTGAGGGAAAGAGTTGAATTAAGCCGAGAGCGAGGAAAGATATCTTGAAGTTTTTGAAATAGGGTGTCAAAAGAAAGAACTCAATTAGGCATTTTGTTTATGAGGTAGGTTGCAGGTAAGATAACGACGCCCCAAAAAAAAATTGGCATGTTGGTAGTGAACATTAGGGCACAAGCTACATCAAGGATGCGTCTGTTTTTCATTTGGCAATCCCATTTATTGAAGGGTGTCGACACAAGAACTTTGATGAATAATGCCATGTTCACAAAGATAGAGACCCAAACACGTATTGACATATTTAGTACCATTGTCAACAAGTGAAATTTGTACTTTAGTGTTGAATGTGTTTAGATCATAGATTGAAAATAGATAAAAACATAATAGACTTCGATTTTGCCTTTCTGCAAATAGACTTAACAAAGTCAAGTATGATCATCTATAAATATGCTGAACCATTTTGTATGTGTTCGACTAAGATTACGGGAAGGACCCCAAACATCGCTGAGCATTGTAATGAACGACTTAGTGGGTTTTTATGTAGACTTTGGAAATAAAGTACAATGATATTTTGCAAGTTCACATATTTCATATTGAATATCAAGAGACATTTTACTGGAATAAAGAGCAGGAAATAAATGTCTTAAATACTAAAAATTGGGATGATCCATCCTAGAATGCCATGAAAGGATTCACTATTCTTAGAGGAAGAAACAGAATCACAGATAGCAATTTTGATACTGGTTACTCACTTTAGCCTCTTTAAGTAGTATAGTCCCTCACACTCCTTAGTAATGCCAATCATCATCCTTGATGACAAGTCTTGTTAGGCACAATGAAAGGAAAGGAATTTAGTAGAGCAGCTGGAATGTTTAGTCAGCTGACTTATAGACAACAGATTAAGATAATTTTGGAACACAGAAAACTGAATCTAAAGTGATAGAATCAGAGATACAGATACTTCATTTGCTTGCAATAGGGGAAATGAATCCATATGTAAATTTTACTTTCATATTTCCAACACCTACAGTGAATATGTTGAAAACAGATGATACGAATTAGTCATATGGCCAGTGCTCCCGAGTCTATAATCTAGGGAGTATGAGTACAGGAGGTGGTTAAAGCTTTTAAGGAATTACCTCTATGTGCAAAGAAACTAGAATAAATTTTTTTGATGACTAACCAGAGGATTTAAGGGCAACAATCATCTCCATGATCTTTTCTAATTGATCTGAATTTGAGCTCATACTTGAATGGGCTTCGGTTCGGCTCGTGCAAGTTTCCAAAATCACCAACTCCTATTTGTTGACAGAGGCATCCCCCATTGTTAGCTCAGTTTAGGAGAAAACCGGCTTTGATATCATGTAAACAGAATAGTTAAAGAAATTTTCTAGTTTATCTATTGATAATTAGTACAATGCTATGTGGCATTATTTATAATACAACAATGTGGTATAAAATAGGAATATTATCTCCTAAAAGTGGAAAAAGAAATTTCCCTAATTTAAGATAAATCAAATAAAGTATACACAGTCAATCGTGAACACTCCATAATTTAATCCCACGATTATATGGATTTAATTATTCCACAATTATAGGGATTTCTGTATTACACAATTTGTAACATATAAGAACGTTATTTTGAAGGTAAATGTCTCATAAGTTATAGAGGTTATCACACACAGAATATACATCGTTAAAACCTTATTAGAAAAAATCATGTGGGAAAAATTCTAATAAAAAATTGTACATTATTCCTCCGAATATGCCACAAAGGGTGTCTCATTAAAAATCATACCTGCAAAATTCAATGGAACAAAATCTTGATCAAGGAAAAAGGAGTACAAAATGTATTTACTCTCTCCAATGATAGCACCACTTGAATTATATGCTTTAAGCATATTAAAGTCCTTCAAGGATAACAATAATAGTTATCTCAAATGAGTTGGCTATAATTGCATTTCATACATCGTCAGGATAACAAGATATGGACTTAGGATTGCATCCACCATAGTCTTTGCGAAATTTATTATTTTAAGAGTCGTGTATTATATATATATATATATATATATCCAGAAATTTCAAATTTCTCTAATAAGTTCGATTTTATTTGGTCAATCATTTCTTTGATCGATATGCTTCAACGAATTTATTTTGATATCCTCGCTATTCAAAACATGAAGTAGTCCTTCATATATAAAAGTATCAGCAGCCTTTTTTTTATTCTATTTCTTTCTCATAACAACACAACTTAATAAAATATCTCAATTTTCAACATTTTAGGTTCCTGAACCTTTTAGAAAATTTATATTTTGTCATCTCTATATACTCTCCAAAAGTGTACACCTCCTAAAAGGACTATCTTTACTATTTGCTCAATTTTTTCCGATGAATTTTGTCTTGGAATCGAACGTTATCACACTTCAAGAGTGTAATGGATTTTTAAATTACAATGTTAATTAATTGTCCTTTCAAGACATCAATTCAAGTTAGAGTACTTAAAGTTGGATATGAGATATTGTTAATCTCTTTAATCAATAAATGTATTTGAAAGAATTATCTTTCGAAATTTTATTTCGAATTATCTTTTGCGAGAATCTAGGTAATATAATAATACATTTGTACATTATTTCCAACTTCTTAATTCATCCCACTAATATTGAGAAAAATGTCCAATCAAATTAACAACTAGCAAAGTGCATGATAAAATATCACTAATTAGTGCTGGAGATATTGTATAATGGTTCAAATTATGCATTTATTTTCAACATTATTTACTTTCTATCTCGGTGCATTATGGTGAGTCAATTGTACATATGTTGGTTACACCATGAAAATAATTAGATAGGAAGCACTTTGTTCTCAATGGTAATGATTTAGAAATTAATTGAAGGAATTTAACAAATAATAGTTTTAAATAATTTATCATCATCCCAACTAACACTTATTAAATATTGAGATTTAGACTCACTAGCGTTAACAAGACACACCCCGTCTTGATTGTACAAAAATTACTCATAATTTAAAATTTGAACATTAATTACGCAAACGTCAAGTTGCGAACATCATGAAATTATCTTGTAGATGTACAATATCTATTATAATACAAATAATATTTAAATTGTCAACATGGAGGGTGATGAGGCCTCATATATTATCTTAATTATTTTTAAGAAATACGAAAAATCCAATCTCGGTTTTAGTTAGTAAAAGTGTACTAACATGTATATACTTTGATAACAATCATTATATATGAATTCATTGTATTAGAGAATCTTTCGGTTCTTCATTGGATGTCCATTTGAATTCTCAATAGTTTTGCATCATTGTTGATTCGGAATGGTCTGATCGATCATGCCAAATAACAAAGTATTAGATTTATCGAACTTTTGATTCAATACAATATTTATTTTAAGTGTATAATAGCTCTATAGAACAGCCAAATACAGTAGCATAAGAGTGTATAATAGCTCTATAAAGCATGCCTAATCATGATTGTTGTTTTCATAGGAAATATGGTTCGTATGAATTTTGTGGATTCTGAGAAAGTATGGATACATTAAACAAAAAGAAAGACCTTCAGACAATATTGAAGATAATCAACATTATGTACTGGATTAGAAGTCTTGTAATGTTGGAATGTGTATATATTATTTGTATGATGATGTTTTATTTTGTATCCTAATGGATTTTTGTTTGTCATATGATCAGTTGAATTCATATCTTTGACAGAAATTTTGTATTTGTAAGGTTTTGCTAAAAGTTTCCATCAATAGGGGACAAAGAAACGCATACGAAACCACCGAAATTTTTGGAAAAATCAATATGAACCAAGATAACAAATTAACAATTACAGTCAATGCTTACAAAACTTGTGATTCTACAAATAAAACAGCAAAACAATGTATTTATCCTCTCTGTTACTGCACATACGCGTCAATATTAATCAAGTCTCGTGTCGAAACAAGATTCACTAGTTGACCTCAAGCGATCTCTAGAGCAATCCTCGCAATATTTAAATCACCAATTTTTACGAAGATAAACCCAATTTTTACGACGATAAACCCGGGGTTTGCCTCCCCAAAATGACAAATGGGATCATAACACAATGTCACATACTTGAGAGAAAATATGGCTTCAGTCCTAGCAGAATCTGATTTTTTCATTTGGGAAAACAAGATTTGGATTCCGAATATGAGGATTTAAAGCGGCAAGTTCCTTCCATTTAGCCCCGGTTCCATGAACTCGAGAAGAGATACTCCATAAGGTATCACCAGGCTGCACTGTAGTTGTTGCTTGTGAAGAAGCTGGTGCAGAGGAGTTGGCGACCACCTTCGACTTCATCAGTGGATGCTTCTTCTTTCCCATTCCATTTGCAAGCAACCAGCGAGAACCAGACTTTTGTTGATTACTGGAACCCCATAACTTCGTTTTACCTGTCTCAGTCTTCAAACCAGCAACATGCACCTCAGTAATTTTGTATTGAGGAACGGGTTCTTCTTCATGGATTTTGTCTTCTTTGATCTCCTCAATTATGTTCTCAGTTTTTGCAGTCTTGCCCTCTTCTTCCTCTTTGTCATAGTTCCTTACTTGCGAAACTGTACTATAGATTTTGGGTTTAGGTGGGACAAAAACTCTCTCCACTTGAATGAGAGCGAGCATTGGAGTACCAACAGATTCATAGTTCCTCAAAGGATCACGTAACTGCACCATCAATGCAACAGTAAAGTTATTACCCAACAAACCACACCTCCTACCTTTGCTTCGTCTCTTCTCCCCCTTTGATCTTCCACCAAATGATGCTAATGAAGTAGCATGATGGGCTGCCAGTATTTTGGAAGTTCGATCACTGATGAGATCTTCATTGTCAATTTCACCAGCATCCAGCCTCATCCATTCATCGAGTGTTAGAGACAGGCCCATCAAACCATCAACATCTTCACTGTTGTCTTTAATGTCAAGCAGTTGCAATCCACCAGTCCCATCAAGACCTACGGCGCCACCAACATCAACTGTCTTTCCCTCAAGAGCTGAAAATCCTCCAATGGATTGTGGGCTAATGTTTGAAGATGCATCCTCATCTGACATGCCAGATTGTATTCTCAAGCCCTCGATTGAAATGGCTTCAATTTTATTCATTGCAAAAGGAGCAAGATCTTCTAAGGATACATATTCCGAGTCACTGCCAAGTGAACCTGAATCAAGGTTTTTTAACCTGGATCCAGAGGATTTTCCTTCTACTATCATCTCCTGAGAGATATTTTGCACACGTTCTGATTCATGCTGCAATAAACCTTGTCTGAAACATGGATAACAAATCAAGAAAACTATAATTAGTGTAATTGTTGAGATGTTGAAAATGAGTTACACAAGAATCCATCTATTTTGCAATGCTGAAACAGTAACAGCAAACCTCTCGAGCCCCTCCAGATTGGATGAAGCTTCCCATGCTACTTGTTGCATCGTCTTCCCAGTTATATCTTCCAAAGGCATTAATTTATTTGCCTGTATCGAGAGCTTTTCAATTCCAACAGAGGCCAGACCCTGAAGTATGTCCATTATACCAGAACCCATTTCAGCAGGAACCACTACGGGACTAGACACCTGCATCACTAAGTTCCCTCCATTTTTGTCATTTTTGAAAAGTGCAGGATCCATTGAGCGCAAAAATCCTCCATTCTTAGTCTGAATAAAGGGACCCAAACCTTCGGCTAGGGGAGGCAGCTGCTGAGGATCCTCTAAAGGCATATCAATTGGATTCCCAAACCCACCCGCACTACTAGGTGGAGAATGTTGAAAGGAACTCCCATTTAAGCCCCATTCACACATCAAAGCTTCAGTCTCCAAATCCTCCAACACTGAGGCCCTTGTTTTAGTCCTCATTGCATCAGCTTCTATCTTAGTCATCTCCTCATAATCCTGAACCATAGATGAGTTATCAAAGTTCTCGTAAGTGGGTTCCCATACAGAATCACTAGGAAAGTCATTAACAAACTCTGAAGAGTTATAGTCCATATCAAAGTTGAATAAAGAACTTCCATTGGTGGCAACCTCCTTCTCAAATTGCCTTAGTAGTCGCTCTCTTGGGGACTCGGGCTCACTTTCAGAACTCAAACCAAGGCTATGCTCCATTCCCAGCCTGTCCAAGAATTCACTAGCTGCAGATTCATCAACATCATCCAAGCTAAGTGATTTTCCTTTTCCATGATCTCCGTAATTTGACTTAATAACCAAGGATTTTTCACTTTCATCTTCTTGAAAATCAAATCCTTCATTCACCATCTCTGGGGCAGAAGTTAAAATTGTCTCCAGTTCTTTCATTAATGATTCTTGGGTACAAACATCATTCTCTTTAGAATTGCCATCACTTATCAATTGCTCATCTTTCCGATAACCAATTTCCTCAACAGGAGGAAGAAGGGGGACATCCTCGTCAAGGGGAACCATGATGGTGCTTGCATTTTCAAGACTCCCCCTAGCAGAACCTTGAGCAACATTCAACATATTGATATCTGATTTCACATGCTCTTTTTTCAAGTCTACTATTCCTTTCTCTACGACAAAACCCTCAGTAGTTCCACATTCAGTTTTAGAACTATCCTTCCCAGCATCAGATGCACATGAATTAGTTTTGAGAGGACCGGCAGGTTCAGAAAAAGAATCAGCCTCTATTTTGCAATCAACTGAAGAATTCTCTTCATTAAGATTGTGATAGAGTATCATCAATGAATCTGACTGTTTGGACCTTGATGTTGGCATATCCTCATGAAGTTCCTTTATATCATCGGCTAAAATATTTGAAGTAGACGACTTAGCAGGGACACTTCCTACATGCTGAATATTTAGCTCATTTTTACGATCCAATTCACCAAGGAGTTTTGCCGTACTTATATGATCCCGCCTCAAGCTCTGAATCACAGATATCTCCCCACTGTCAGAAGGGCCAGTGCTATGATTCCCAATTACTACATATCCAAAACTAACATCCATAGTTGCACCTCTAGCCTTACCTGATAACCTGAAACTAGTTGTCCACTTTCCCGAGTTCTTTTCCTCTTCCAACTCCTCCAAAGTTAGAGGAAGCAAGCTTGTCAAGTCAATCCGATGCTTTCCCAAATCCAACTCAGGAGCATCATACACCAAAGCATACAACAAGAAATGCTTCGCCTCATACTTTGCAGAATGGTATGGACCACTCCTACTCCCATATATGGAGCACATATGTGTCAAATGTTCCTCAAACTTGGCTACTCCATGATAAACCCTAACTGGTTTAGTCATGAACTCGCCATCTCGCCTCTTCCAGTGCACAACAAGACTAACATCATTAAAAAAGGCAGGTAACCCCTCAATGGAATGGACTTGGAGCGAGAAACAACAATTGAACCTACGGTCTCGGATATGGGTCAAGGCCTTTAGCCCCTTCCAACTCCAAATGGACTTCTTATTCTTATCAAGTGAATCTTTAGCATCATTAGCATCCTTTGGCTTCATTTCAGGCTCAGACAAATGGGGTTTTCCCACAGCCTTGGATTTACTACTTGCTGTCGGAATTGCAGCCCTTGGCAGCATTTTATCTGTACGTAGGCCTTTATTAATAGTTCCAAGATCTTTTAAAAACGTCCCCTTTCCTGAATTCTCGCCATTTTTCTTCCTACTACCTTTTTTTGACAACATTATCTCCTCACAGCCACAATATTACACACAGACTTTGCAAAATTAACCACTGCCAAATTTCACAAATAAAAAGCAATAAACCTATCTTCCGAAATTCCACACAATTTTTCCTCTAAAATATATCAAATTTCAGAGCGATTGACCTTCAAAAATCGAACTATGATTTATACATTAAACATATGCAGAGACTCAAAATAAAAACAGGACTACACGCCAATTCATAATTTATCTCGTTCCTGCATCAAAAATAGAATTCAGTATTATTTATTAACGGTGCAGTTCCTATATAAACATGAAATACACAGATTAATTGAATATTATTGTGCGAGGTAAATTGAAGAAGAGTAGAAGAGATGATTAAGAATCTTACAAGTAATCGCAACGGCAATCTCTTCCGCGCTTTGACAGTGTCTGAACTATGAAGTCTCTCTCTCTCTCTTTCACGAAATTTTGGCGTGACCGGATTGAATTCAAAGTTAGGTTGACGTGGAGCCCCTCTATATTTCAAAACATTTTCACTTTGATTATTGCTTTTTGTGTGTTTCGAAATTAGGTAATTTTCTTTGGCTACGTTTATTTTTTTCTCAATTAAGGCAATGACATAATTCCATCACTTAGACAGATGGAAATTACTAAAGTGGATGAAAATGGAATTATCCATCCCCGCTTCATTAAGGAATTGGAATGGAGACAAAAAACATGATCCGATCATGAATTGATCTAGACTATAATTTTTTTAGTGTATTCAATTTTAGCAGTTCTTTGGATGCATATTCAGTCGATCACGTGTGATTGAATTGGTGGAGCGAAATCAGTGATTTCCACGTGTAATTGATGGAAAGCCCGCAACAAAATGGAAGGAAAAGTGATGAGATGATGAAATTGTCTAATGATGACAAGTTATAAGCAAGCCCCCAATTTAGTTTCAAAAGTATTAAAGTTTCTTTTATGATTTATATTTAAATCGTAAATTATTAAAAATTAAATAAATTAGCCAACAGGATGGTTTATGGCAAAATATTTAAGCACCTGTTTAGCCCCCATTTTGTGAAATGAAAATGGGTGGAATAATGTATTTTTGAAAAATTAATAGTTAAAAAAGAATGAAATTTTTTTGATTTACGTGTAATATTATTTTATGGAAAATTGTGTAATTGAAAATTAAAGAAAGAAAAATTAAATGAAAATTAATGGAGGCCAAATGGAGGCTAAATCCCTTCACCAACCACTCTCGTTCCTATTTCAACTCTTGAAAATCCTCAACGGTGTAAGAAAGGAAAGAGATTTCCTAGCCTCACTCGACGAGCCATCCCTAGACATGGATGTCATTAAATGATAGAATTAGATAAAGTTAACTTATAAGAGTTTTCTCGATTGGAAATTTAATGAATTTTAAAATATTATAAACTCTAATGAATTTGAATAGATCTAAACAAAATCCATAAAAATTTTATACTAAAAATAATGAAATTTCAAAAGAGTTTGTTATATGTATTTTTTTTTTTGCTTGAATTTATCTAAATGTTTTGAAATCCTTGTAAATCCTTAAATTATTGAGGACACTTAGATTTTAATGAAATTTAATAAAATCTTTTAATATCTCAATTGGGAAACCTCAAAGTGAAATGGCTTTTAAAATTCATTAAAAATCGTAATTGAGAACACGCCATTATTATGAACAAAATTTAAATGTAGATAACAGATTAGAACTAATTGAAATGCATCAAAATATAGAAAAATGAATGAAACCTACACCAATGTACCAGGGGACTAAGTGCACGTAAAAAGTGCAAGAAATGTATAAAAAGTAGATGTACAAGAGTGTATTAAATACACAAGATGGATGAAAAAGCTAAGAAATGCACATAATTTACTATAAAAGGAAAGTTTTATCAGCTGTGTGTGTGTGTGTGTGTGTTTTGAATAGTGATGAAAATATTTGATTAAAAAGTAAGAAAAAATTTGAGTTTTGTGTAAAATATTTTATTATGTTAATGTGTAGTTGAAAAAGAGTATGAAAGAGTAAGTATTTTCTTTAAAGGGAGACAAACGAGGCTTCATTTGATCTCTTTAGGCGAATAGAAACCATGGACGTAAACATTAATTAATGATGAAATTGGATTAAGTTATTTTAATTGAAATCAAATTAAGTATAGCTATTAGATCCACAAAAATGAAGTCATCATTATTATTTCAATGTAGATATTCTTCCTATCTTTGAATTCGAATTAATCAAAATATTAGCACGTGTTTGAATTAAATGAGATGCAAACAATTTAATAATAATAATACCCCCATATGCTTTATTAGTTCGTGTCCGCAATCGTATGGTATAAAAATGCATCTTGTTGGATTATTATTTTTAAATAATATAAATGAGAAAATAGAAAATGTTAGGGTATTTGGCCGATTGAAAGATAAAAATGGTTTTTTAATAGATTTTATATACCACATCATATTATCCTATAGATAGATCCATAGTTACTGTTTGGCAACTATTAAAAAAAGCTTTTTATTTTTTTTTTTTGAGGAAATTAGTTTTGAAATAATATTTTTTGAAACATACGTAGTTAAAAAGTAGGACTATAAGCAAAAACCGCAAAATCGAAAAATCGAACCGAAACCGCATTTTAGAAACCGTCGCTTTGGTGCCACGTGGACCCGATCAACGAAATGGTTTTGACTCAAACCAAACCAATCAAAATGGTTTGGTTTAGGTTTGAGAATGTTAATTGCGGTTTAAAATCAAACCGGACCGGCGAAAAAATATATAAAAATAAAAAATAAAAAAATGAAAATTTTTGAAAATTCACTCAAATATGTAAAATTCAATAGTTTTGTCATTTGTGGGTATTTTTGTCAATTCCTGATTTTCTAATACAGATATATTATTATTATTATTATTATCATCATCATCATCATCATCCAATAATCCTAATATATATTTAATAATTTTAAGACTAACATAATCTATCAAAAGCATTTTTCCTCTTCAAAACTTAGATGGACTCTAGTCGACACCCAACACAATTTTAAGCCATCGGTATCACATACTTCTTTTCAAATTTTTCACACATCTTCAAAGTCGAATTGAAGTCCATTATATCAAATCGAAGACGAAAAGATTCTAGACTTTTGGTGATAATATTTGCTACAAATAAAGTTTCAAATCAATAATTTTTTGGAGCAAATTAAGGTAAGAATCTGAAATTAAATGTGTTTCCTAACATCATACAAATGTAAACTTGTGTAATTGTTATGTTTGGATATTATAAACAATTGCTTTATTATTGTAGTTGGGTATTCTCTTTGTTTAATCAATATTTTTTTTAGATATAATGATCACGAGGTCTTGTTGGACATCATTATTTTTTTGGACCTTATATCTAGTTTAGTAGACATGTATTGTAACGTTACTGGATCGTCATTAACCTAAAAAGGTCAACAAAAATGAAAGAAAAAAAACTATGTTTTAATTTATTGTGATTTCATTTTGATTTAGTCAGTATTTAAATTTATAGTAGATATATTTAGCCTCTGTTTGAGCCATATTTTTCATATCATCATAATAAGAAAATTGACTATTAAAGAAGAGGATGGATCCCACACATGAAATAACAGGTCAATAAAGGTGACTGGATTTGTGGAACAACGATCCAAATTTTCATTTCTTTGTCCCAAAAATTTGATTTAAACAGGGGCTTAGTGTTTTAGATTTATTACTAGTGAAATATAAATATATATTAAATTCAATGAATTAATGACATAAAAGTAGACGGGCAAAAAAATATATGACGAAACCGACGATTTAAAACCGACCAAACCATTAGGTTTAGGTTTGAGTTTTTCTCAAACCGTTCAAAATGGTTTGGTTTAGGTTTAGATTTTTCTCAAACCGTTTTAAATGGTTTGATTTGAAAATTTGTCAAAAATCGGTAAAATCGGACCGCTTACATCCCTATTAAAAAGTAGTAAAAATGTTTAAATTT